GGGGGGGGGGAAGGATCACGGAGTGGTTGCTGGGACCAGAATTTGGGAAGAAAGTGGGGGAATATGAGGGTGTGCAGATTCCCCTGCGTAGCAAAGTCTACAAGTGCTTTCAGTCTCCTCTGGGAAGTGGAGTAAGTAAGCCCTTGCTGCAGTTAGGACAAAGTAGGTGTCAGGGGCTGTGAAGCTAACTAGAGCATATGGAGGGATGGGAGAGGGCAGCTGGGGCATGGGGATGTGTTTAATAGGGCTGGGAAAAGAAATAGGGCTCATCCCGGCGCTGCTGGATGCTCTCGGTAGTGTCCTCAGTGGAGCTGCTCCTGGTGTGCTTCCCAGAGCCTACTCTTGCCTTGCCTGGCAGAGAGAAGGTGACTGCTTCATACAGCAGAAGAAATAATTTACAGTCTTCATCAGAGTGCAACTGCAGGTGTATTGTTCAGTTCCCTAAGTATTTAGTGAGTGGAATTTCAAAGACAGGCACTCAAACTCAATGCCTTTGAGCCTGAACTTGGGATCTAAATCTGACCTCTGTTATGTATTGCACTATTACAGGTTATATCTAGTTCCTTAACACCAGTGCTTATTTTCACAGCAAAAAAACCTGCTGTCTCATTATAGATCCTGCATCTTTTTATAACGTAAATTTAGCTGCCTCTTCCGTGTAGATTTTTTAAATTTTATTTTATGCATGAATTTAGTTTGGAGTTATGCAAAAAGATCCTTCCCTTCATTAGTCTTATGCCATTATTATAAGAAGCCAGGCCATCCCCACAGATCTATTGGGCTTCTTAATTGCTCTGCAAATACGGAGGGGGGGTGCCAATAAGCTTTCTTTCAAGCATGCGTTTGTATGTCAACACTTTTGCTTCTGTCAGAAGCTTAAAAATGGAAACAGTTCTCTCTTTAAGAAAACAGGACCCAAATAAGGAGATGATGGAGTGGTGAAGATTCCTCTAGTGAGTCTGTTCCAGCTCATTCCTTAGAAAGGCTGTGTATGAAAGATCAGAGAAGAGGCCAATAGATCTGGGTTTTGTCCAGGGGTCTCTGGGTTTAAAGCTCTCTACAACCACTTGAGCTCATTTTCCCTGTGACTTGGCTGGGTACAACTTCTTTCTCTGCCCAAGCTGTTAAAAATCTTAAACTTTACCCTTTAGAATTCTTTCAGTTGCGTGACAGATACAACCTATCCCTTAGCAAAAATGGAAGCTATCAAGAAAAAGATGCAGATGTTGAAGTTAGACAAGGAGAATGCCATTGACAGAGCAGAGCAGGCTGAAACGGATAAGAAGGCAGCTGAGGACAAATGCAAACAGGTAAGTAGAAATAAAATCACCAATAGTGTATGCGCTGTGGGAGTAAGTGTAACAAAATAGTATGTTGCAACTTGCTGATTCAGAAAGAAAAATTATTTGAAGTCAGGTTTCTTGTTAATCATCTTGTGAAGTCTTTTGCTTTTTTGTGATGTTGCACTCATACAGCCAGGGCTATGTATTAACTTCTCTTTTCAGCCATCTGAGTCTTTGCAAAATTAGCACTATCCACAGATTATTAAGAGTACTTTGTCTAAGTTTTCTTGCATCTTACATAATTGCCTTAATTTTCTTGTGCTTGTGATTCCATGGAAAAGGCCCCACATACTCGAAATCAAAGCTGTATACCTTGAACACCTGTAGGACTAGCGATAATACCTCCTGAAGAATCAGCTGTGTCTAAACATTAATTGAGCCTCTCCTTGAAGTGAATTAATAAAGTTCACTTGACTAGTCCTTGGTATACAGAGTGCCCCTTAGAGGTACCAGCTGTGACTCAATAGTAGATAATGTTGTATCCTTTTTTTGTTAGGAATAATCAGAAATATCTTCATTTGAAAGCACTTCTTTTAACTGAATTATACTGGTAACATTTTCACATTCTTATGCTTTTCAATGTTCTCTATTCGGGGTATCTACCTCATATTTGAGCTATAGTATTTTCAGAACGATCTTGACATGTAAGTTGACTACATTCAAGTTCCTTATAGCTCTTGTAAAATTACCATGTCTCTTCCTTTTACATCCTCTAAGTGTGGCTGCTTCTACTACATCTTCCAAACTGCTATAATACATTATTAGCATTCATTTGGCCAAATATTTCTTATCTTGGAGTTCAGTTTGAGATCCTGGGCGATATAATTAAATTTTCAACGGATCATCCATTTAGCTAAAGCAACAGGGAAAAAAAGTTTCCAAAAGGGTGAGCCGCTGCTGTCTTCCCCCTCCGCAAGGAAAACTGCTCGTCTCTTCCCTGTCGTTGCAGTAAGCTTCTACAAGCTGCACACATCGTCCCGTGCACCCAGTCCCTGTTTCTGTCCTAGCTTAGAGGTGTTACCAGATGCTGTTCTCTTGGGCCACAGTTCCCCAGCACCCAGTAACAGCCGCAGCAGGTTGTTATGCAGAGCAGGTAATGGCGATGGAATGCTTAGCCTTCCTTTACATTTGGTTATCGAAGGTGACTTCCCACGGAGTCATAAACGACACGGGAATTTTCAAGTATCCATATGAGGGTAATTCACAACAAAAAGGTAAAAGAGAAAAATCAATCTTTGATCTTACTCCTCTTTTCTGAATTGTCTCAAATTTTTCAGCTTTTTTTTTTTAACGTGGGCACAGTACTCAAGTAGTGATTTTCATGCCATGCACAAAGTAAGCATCACCTCCTTCATCCTGCTTACTGCCCCTCTGTTAAAGCATCCAAGCAAGCATATTCGGTTCTCTCTCACTACCTGCTTACTCTGAGTAAAAGTATAGCAACATAACAATGTTCAAGAATAGCGTGCTACCAAAAAAGTCGTTAAAGCTATCTTTGAAGCTAGAATGAGGAAAGTCAGTGCACTAAAACACAATCTATTTTGAGTGAACTATTTTGATAGACTAAATGTATGTGAAGGCAGAGCTAAATGGTTAAATCAGTTTCTCTACAGACTGAACTGGTTCGTATTGCAAACCAAACGACGGAGCAGATGGGTTTGCAGGCACACCCTTATCAGCAGCAAGCCTCCCGATAATGTAAATTCTTCCGGGAGCGTGAGGCAGTTTGTCATTAAACAGTCTGCCAGCAGGTTATAAATAGTACCATTCCCGTGTACAATATGGATTTATATGGTATGGAGGAGAGAGGCTGAGCCTCGTGGTAGGATGGAGCGTACCTTGTTGGCCCGCAGTTAGAGGATAATCCAGGTTGGGAGGGTCCTGCGGAGGTCATCCAGTCCCACCTCCCGCTTACAGCGGGGTCTGTCGCGGGCCGGACGGTCCCCTCCTGCTTCCAGAGTGGCACGTTTGGCAACACATGATCAGGGAACGACCACTGGGGTTTTTTCTAGCTATACAGGAATTGAATAGTTTCCTAATAAATCATTGGGTAATAGTGTTAGAACAAACACAAGGACACAATTTTAAAACATTTATAATTATGCTGTAGAATTAACTGCTGCAGGGTGTTGTGGAGTCTAAAACAGAAATGAGGTGAAAAAGGGCTTATACCAAGTTATGTACTAAACCAGATCCCGTGCGGGCAGTGGCAGGGAATGGTGTGTTTTTAATGATCTTTCCCTGGCAATTGCTACCAGTCGTTCTCGGACTACTTGCCCCAGCAGAACTTTGAGCTGGTCTTTTGTGACTCTTCTATGTTAGGTTAAAACTAATAGTGAAGAGAGGTTTTAGCCATATTAAACTGAGACTGACAATACATCAGAATGCTCACTTTGGGTTGTTTTTCTTTCTCTTTCTTGAAAGGTGGAGGATGAGCTGGTGGCTCTGCAGAAGAAGCTGAAAGGAACTGAAGATGAGCTGGACAAGTACTCGGAGGCTCTCAAAGATGCCCAGGAAAAGCTGGAGCAGGCTGAAAAGAAGGCCACCGATGTATGTACCTACAGCTAACGTTCGCCTGTAACTGTGCTCTGTTTTGCAGTACATACGTAGTACACCGATGATGAGAATCCCTGAGAATTTTTGTATTGCAGTACTTTGATCGGGGGATAGGAAAGGCAGTGTTATGTTTCAGGTACGTCCCCTCCGCACTGCCACGACGAGCCCGGGCTGCCTGTCCCGCACCCGGGAGCCAGCGCCGCTGGGGCTTAACTGGTACCCAACGGGGAGCCGTGGCACTGCACCCGTCGGGGGGTTCCGAAAGTCTTTGTGGGAATTCTTTAGGGAAGGCGGGATCACCAACCAGATGGTCGTCTTTCAGGAAAGCTGGGACAGAAGCCGGGATCCGCCGTGGCGTAAGGATGCCCTTTAGCTCCAGCCACGTAGCAGGCTTC